CGGAACGTGCGAGCTATCGTCAGTTTATGATGGGCGGGGGTACCAGGGATCGGCAGGATAAAGCGGGGCTTTTTTAGAATGGCCCGGGACGCGGGAAAAATTATGAAAAGGTGTGCCTGTCCCGCCAGATGCGGGATGTCTGGTCACCCTATCTTTAGGTCATTATTCTGTCTCATCTTTTCTATCATCAGGTCAAATAGAATCATGAGGAATTAAACCATGATGTGGATGTTGGGTTGGCCCCCACATTCTGTAGCCAAGAATGAGACACTTTAGTCAGGTTGTAGTCCTGTATTTCAATCTACAATGTTGTATTTTCAGCCTTTCGGGGTAGACGAGACTGGGAAACAAAAATTATGGATGCTAATTTTACTTTGATGATAGGATTACAATAACAGCATCATTCAAGCCTGAATGAGCCCCCCTCCTTTTTTTTCTTCCAAGGAGCAATCTGAAGTTTCAGATGTTTTCTCAGATTACATTTCTGCTTTGAACTCAGATTTCTTTTACCATGACCATTGTCTTGGTCCTTCTCCTGTTTCTCATGATTATTCCTTCTGCTCTTTAGACTATTCCTGAGACTGGAGCCATTGTGAAATCTGCATTCATTCTCAGTCTGTTGAGGGTGTTTGCCCTAGGAATGTATTTGGCATTTTTCTGCTGAGAGAGGGAACTCCATTCTTCTGTTTAGATCATTGTTTTTACTGTCTGTTCTGTTTCCAGAGTCAAAATGGGATTCCCATAATGTGTTACTCTTGCGCCAAACTGGCTACCCCCATCATCTTTTCCTACCTCCCCCCCCAAAAAAAAGAACTGGAGAGAAACTCCATCTGGAATTGATTGATAAATTGTGTTTAGTGCTCAGATTCTTCCAGTTGCATCCAGTGGGAGGAGGAGGAAAGAAGTCACAGCAGAAAAGAGAGATTTCTCAATACTTGTGCTGTTTTTGTGTGCTGGACTCTGAAGTTACGAATTTATGCCAGAGAAATGCTGTTTTCTCCACCCAGACACCTTGCATGTGAATCTATGCCTATCAATTGTTTCCCCTGTCTCTGGAGAAGAGCCATTGTAAGGAAGAATGATGTAATAAATCAAGAAACCAAAAATAATAAAGACATCTTTTACTGGAAATGATTAGGGGAAGAGGAAGGAAACACGGGCTAGGAATGCACATTAGGCGTAAGAGTCATGTTTAATAGCACGAACAAGTAAGAATACTTTTTATATGATGACACAAATGTTTAGACTTTTCCAGTATCATTCTATACTACAAGGATAGAAATTTTGATGTCATCTAACCGTTTTGCAACTTCAACTTCCATTTAGCTCTCAATATGCAGAGAATTTGTAAAAAAAAATGGTGATAAAAACATCTGGAGGCACCAAATTGCCTCTCTCTACTTTGCCACGATTGAGTGCTCACAATTATTTCCTGGGACTTCCTTTCATTCCTAATAAATCTCAGTTTTAGGGACTTACATATTTGGGCGTATTGGAAGATGCTGTATCATAGAAGCTAAGCAAGCAGGTATTTGTTCAGACCCACGAATCAGAGACCAGAATGAGAATTGAAAAAAAATAGGAAAAAGATTTGGAGTAAATGATGGCTTACCCTGAACACTTAGACTGCTGAGTGTTCTTAGGTGAATGTTGATTTCTCACACAAAATGCAAATGAATAAGAGGACATACAGAGAGAATGCTAATCCTTATGGCAGATCGTGGAGGGCTTGCTAGTTATAGTGCCATGATGGCGAACCTATGGTACGTGTGCCAGAAGTGGCATGCAGAGCCACCTCTCTGGGCACACGAGTTGTTGCCCATTGCTCTTCTGGATTCCGGCGTGCTGGCCAGCTGGTCTTCACACACGGGGGAGTGCTGGAAACCAGAAGAGCAGCCGTCAAGTGCACATGTGTGCACCAGGAAGATGATCTTCCAGTTTCCGGCATGAACATGTGCACTGGCCAGCTGGCCTTCACACATGCATGCATGCGAGAAACCGGAAGACCAGGTGGCTAGCGTGCATGCATGTGCCGGAAACCAGAAGATCATCTTCCCAGCATGTGCATGTGCACTGGGCAACTGCTTTTGTTGCCCATACCTGTGTGCGCTCCTGTTTCGGCATGCAGTGCCGAAAAGGCTCACCAACACTGTTATAGTGGAAGGAAGTATAATTTTGAGGGACAAGATTCAAGTCATCTGTAGTGGGAATAAAGCCTGAGAAAAGCTGCTTTAGTGCGATTTGCTTGCCTCCGTTTCATAAAGTGTATAGCAAATGCACCAGTGTGAAATAGTATTTCCCAGCTCAAATCTAGAAAGAAGCATCATTTGCTACAGTAATGAACTGGAATGGATAAGATTTCTTAGGGACAGAAACCAGGAAGTTGTGCTTGGGGAGAAACATTACAGATGATGATGATGATGCACTGATAATGTTACCTAGTTTGGGTAATGAAATGTCTGCAAGAAAAAAACCAAGCTCAGGGAGCGCCAAGGACCCCTCAAAACATTACAGAAATATTCCACTGCAATGTGACTGATGAAAGAATATGACTTTTATGGAACCCTTTTAAGATTGCCTTCTGGCCCTACCATTCTAACAAAAGTGCAGTAGTTCTACGGGCTTCCCTGAGTGCTTTGGGGCTGGGCTGCTTTTTCTCTGCAATCTATGTCTTTCCTTTGATTGTCAGCATATGTTTCTGAAGTGCTCTGAGATCTTTGGGCACAGCGCTACCCAAGTGTTAATTATTATGATTTAGTATGGTGTCTGGCTGCATGTTGGATAGACGGCAGAGCTCTTGCAATTCTGAAAGGGATTAAGCAATGGGGGGGATTAAGCAATGGGCACACGTATCTGAAGGAAAGTGTGTTCTTCCATATGTTATTGCCATTCTTTTTTCTTGTTGCTTAGTTTATGCCTTTTTACATCATTTTCATATTGATCTTATTACTGCAAATGTAGAGTCTCTTCACCAATATGTATAAATGTACCTTATCTAGCCAATATAACGGCCTGGGATCCAGTCCTGCTGTTTTAGTCTTCATCACTCAACGCATATTATTTCTGATTATTGGCAGGGTAGTGGAGTTGAGGTATTGCTCAGGGATAACTATTTTTGCACTAGCAAGGAAGTTATTTTATTTATTGATTTATTTAAAACGTTTGCATTGCTGTCTGTCTTAAAACCAAACTCTGGTTGATTTATAACCAATAAAAATAATATACACAACCATAAAAGACAAAAAAAACCTTTAAAAACAACAACAAAAAACAATAAAACCTGCTGCCACAACCACACTTCTTTGTTGCAAAAGAAACCTTTTGAAAAGGATAACTTGATAAGAGCACTGGAGAGAGAGAAAAAGATGGAAGCAGAAGGAGGAGGGAAGAGAAAGTGGGAAGAGAGAGGAGGAGGTGAAGGAGAAGTAGGGGAGGGGGAGGAGGAAGAGGAAGAAGAAGAGAAAGAGGAGGATTGTGGATGTCATAATATGCAAGCACTTGATTGCACCAAACACCATGTGGGACTTATTACATCCTAAAATTTCACTGGAACGTACATTTTCCTTCCAACCTTCCAGTGCACTCTATGTATACACACACACACACACACACACACACACACACACACACACACACATTCTACCTGGGGAAAATGGCCTTCAGAAGAAAAAGAAATCCGACGCTTGAGGTAAAGAATAACAGTAAGTGTAATTGAATTATATGAACACTTACTGAGATTTGAAACAAATGATTCTTTAGCATCATGGTTTATGTTATTTCATCCTCTGAACAATGCGCAGTTATTGCAAACTGTGTTGCCCAGACTCAAAAGCATCCTGAAACTAAAGATCTGGAGAGACCAGGGAAGAGGAAAGGTGAAGGGAGAATGCTGAGTTGGCACATTTTGATGGCCCTGTTGTCCATTGTTACTAAAGTGAGGAAATCCTACAGTGAGTGGTAAACAATGCAATTTAGCTGGATTGANGTTAGGTTTAGGGTTAGGTTTAGGGTTAGGTTTAGGGTTAGGTTTAAGGTACTGAGTGCTTGGGAATGCGTGATTTTGCCCTCCACGATTATGTCATCACGGTAGGGTCGCGTTTTTCCTTAGCGCTTAGAATGGCGCGAATTAGTCTTCGCGCTTATGTCTCCGCGCAGAAGGGCTTTGCGGATTTGTGGTGGAACCTTTTGGCACCACTGGCAGTTCCATTAAAAGGGGAGCTTGGCACATTGGCCAGAAAGGCCCAGCTCCTGTTTTGCTTGTAAGGCTAGAAAGGGGAGCTTATTTCAATTTGGTTGCCCCCACCTCCAAGAAGAAAACAAAAACTTTCAAATCTTAGCAGCAAGATCCAACCACCCAGCACGCCTAGGAGGGCACTCAGTTTTGTCTTATACCCTATAAACCATCAAGACAACAGGTAGGAGAAGAGAATGGAAACACTGAGGCAGAAGAGGGGGAGAGGTAAGATGACTGTGGTCTATATTGCACTTTTGTCTTATATATACACATGCACTTTTATAAAAAAAATAAGGAAAAAAAAAAAGAACCAAAGGGATGGAGGAAGAAGATAGAAAACAGGTCTGTCAAGCAGCTGTATTCCTCGACTCCATCCTGTCATTTCCCAGAATGCTTTGCCAGCAACCATTTGGGAACAGTGAGTCCTGATTTTGCAGAGCATACTCCATGATTGATGAGGTCCCCGCTGGCCGAGGTGCGGATTGAACCGGGGAGCTAAGAGTCAAATCTGTCAGCCAAGCAACGTTTCCATTGCTCTGGTTTATAAATATGTTGCTCCTCTTCCTTGCCTTCGCTTCTTTCCAGCAAATCCTGAGAATGATGGTGGGGAATTCTGCTCTGCCGCATTTTGCACCACTAGGTTTCTGTCCTCGTGTTTGTCCCATGTGACAAGGCGCCTTTTCACAGGCTGAAGTCATAAAGAGTTTTCCCTGCAGAGAGGAGGAGTTCATATCCCCCACCCCCACCCCATGCCTTCCATGGGGTGATGCTTCCTTGATCCCAAGAATGTGCTGCCGGCTGCCCCTGCTACCTCAGCCGTCCATCAGGCTTGATGGTCCCCAGTTCTGATTTGGGGTCTGGGGACAGTGAACTCCAAGAGGTTTGGTTACAAAGCTCCAAGGGCGAGCAGCTAGAAGGACTCGCCATACAGAGTCCAGCTACCGACCAGAAACTGCTGATGCTGCTGTCTGTCCAGTTTTCTAGAGCATGGCCAAAGAGCTGGGAAGCTCGCCCCATTTCATCTAAATGGGGAAGGTTCAAGATCCCAGCCAAGCCCTGGAAATTCTGCTCCATGTACTCATTCCGTGGAGGGCCAGCATGGAGCCACTTGCCATCATCTGAGACAGAACACAGAAAGAGAGGAGATAAGCAAGACAAAGGGCTCCTATAAATCTGCCCATATTTTAGGTACATATGTATTTATTTACATGTATTTTTATTTATATGCCATCCCCAAATAGCATACACCAATCATACAGGTAGTCCTTGACTTATGACCACAGCTGACTTCAAAATTTCTGTTCCTAAACAAGGCTGTTGTTAAGTGAATTTTGCCCCAATTTACCTTTCTTGCTACAGTCATTAAATGAATCGCTGCAATAGTTAAGTTAGTAAAACAATTGAATTTGGCTTCCCCATTGACTCTGCTTGTGAGAAGGTTGCAAAAGCTGATCACCTGATGATGGGACACTGCAACTGTCATAAATATGAACCAGTTGACAAGCATCCAAATTCTTTCATGTGACCATAGGGATGCTGCAATGGTTCTTAAGTATGAAAAATGGTCATTAGCCAATTTTTTTCTCTCAGTACCATTGAAACTTCAAATGGTCACTAAATGAATGGTTGCAAGTCAAGGGCTATCTGTAGTAGGCTAGAAGCAAGGTAATAACCTGGAGTAACTTCTGACTCTTCCGCCAATGGTTCAACCTCAGAACAGTCATGAAGAATTCCATGATAGAACATTGAATACAATTCTACTAGAACCAATTCAAGTGATGATCTTGAATCCCTTCCGTGCCATGCCCTTATTACTGGTGGCCCTTGGACAATATAACTGCCTGCCAGAGGATGGAACTGAAGGGGAGGGGGAAGCCCTCCTCCCTTTTCCTCTTTAACACCATTATTTTATCACAGTCATTGGAGAAGGGGAGGCATATTATCAATCAGACTGACTAGAAGAAATTTAAACAAGAGGTTTAACTCCCTTTTACTAACTTTGGCTACAATAAACAAATCTTGTCAGTCGGACTCTGCTTAACTCCTTCCCCCTTTATACTCACGTGAATTAGGGGCATATCTGCCCGAGTCACTTGCACATATCTTCTTGCTTTGAACTTAAACCAGGTGCCCCTCCCCCTGTTACTTTGATATAATAGACCTGGCCTATAATGGATTTGGCTTTTCTCACTCACAATCATCTTCTTTACTTTCTACCCACATCTACTTCACCCATCATTCTGAATTTAAACTTGCACCGCTTTTTTGAGGTTAAGGATATTTCCCCCCAATCACAGACGAGATAGCCAATCTCTGCAAGGAGCTGGACACCTGCATTGGGAAACCAGGCATGTAAAATAGCATCCTACTAACGCAAATGACTCAGGAGATGCCTCCTTTCTCCAATTGCCATTACCAAGTGTTTTGTAACAGTTTCAAAACCATATATATAAATTCCAGGAGATTTATAGTAGTAAACTTAAAAATATGGGAATCAACCATTTCAATGAAAAATCTGACAATAAATATGAATGAGTAGAACTTGGTATCCCGTCTATATTGAGTCAACCAAAACCATACAAGTCACCCAGCAAAAAAAACCCAATTAAATGATGCAGTCTTCATTGCCTGAGAAATATTAGTTGGAAGGGAGCAAGTATAGCTCCAGAAGTAGGGTATCCAAATCCTGGGAGCCAATATGGAGAAGTCTGCAGGAACAGGACTATAATTAGGTATGTCTAGTTTAAGAGAAAGAAGGACTAGGGGAGACATGATAGCAGTGTTCCAATAT